AAATGAAGACTCGGCACACCACTTCTGAAAAGTTGCCGACTCCTGATCTACCGAGTGTGATCATTCTACTTGTAAAAATGTATCATTCTTGTATCTGAAACTAGAAATATGAAATATAACTCTGAGGTCCTATTGTAATTATTCAAAATGTGGGCCATTAGTGGTGATTTGGAATCTTGATGGCTCCCATCAACTAGGACAATTGACTGTAGATGGCTCTGTTTACTTGCAAGCCTTCCTGTGAGTCAGGCTGGGAAGAATGAAGGCTTGGGGTCTCACGGGACATGTGACCATGTCACCTGGTACTGGAATCCATCTTAAACCTGGGGCTTTACTATTTAGAAAGAGGGGTGGGGACTCAAAGAGACATAAGATTCCCACCTTGTGCCAAAGCTATGTAAGGGGGTGGAACAGAACAAAGGGGGCTGCAGTCATGAGAAATCCCCTAGCTACCACCTGAGCTGGAACAAGGACTGTACCATGGGAAAGGATTGGGCCCAGACTAGAAAGGAGTCTAGTCTGTCAAAGAAGCTTATTGGAACATCTCTGAGGGTGAGATTTATCTGCATTTAGTTTCCTACTGTATTAGGCTTAGACTTGTGTGTTTTTGTTTTATTTTGCTTGGTAATTTACTTTTTTCTGTCTGTTATTACTTAGAACCACTTAAATCCTACTTTTTATATTTAATAAAATCATTTTTACTTCTTAATTAACCCAGAGCAAGTATTAATACCTGGGTGAGCAAACAGCTGTGCATATCTCTCTATCAGTGTCATAGAGGGCGAATAATTTATGAGTTTACCCTGTATAAGCTTTATACAGAGTGAAATGGATTTATTTGGGGTTTGGACCCCATTGAGAACTGGGTGTCTGGGTGTAGAGACAGGAGAACTTCTCAAGATGTTTTCAGTTAAGCCTGCAGCTTTTGAGGGACGTGGTCCAGACCTGGGTCTGTGTTTGTAGCAGGCTAGCGTGTCTGGCACAACCAGGCAGGGCACTGAAGTCCCAAGCTGCCAGGGAAAATGGGCTTAGAGGTAGTCTCAGCACATCAGGTGACAGTCCCAAAGGGGTTTCTGTGACCCAACCCATCACAATAAGCTTTAGCCTAAGTTTTCTGTCCATATTTGGCTCCTCCTATAGTTTCCATGCAGGCCCTTTCTATTCCAGACCCTAGCTCCTAAGGTTTCAGAAAGGGTCTCCAACCCCATTTATATCCTGGTTGGAGCTATATGAATCTACCTGTTAAAATGATGAAGCAATAATTTACACTGCTTGTTTATGCAGAGTCATAGCATCTGAGCTGAGGTGACAACCAAGAAGCCTTAATTTCTATGCAGGATCCTAGGAACCATCACCCTGCTAGTCAGTGTCATAGCCAGAATTAACACTGGTTAGGCCACAACTGGAGTACTGTGTCCAGTTCTGGGCACCACATTTCAAGAAAGATGTGGATAAATTGGAGAAAGTCCAGAGAAGAGCAACAAGGTTAAAGGATTAGAAAATATGACCTAAGAGAGAAGATCAAAAGAACTGGGTTTGTTTAATCTGGAGAAGAGACGACTTAGAGGGGACATACACCTCTACCTCGATATAACGCTGTCCTCGGGAGCCAAAAAATCTTACCGCGTTATAGGTGAAACCGTGTTATATCGAACTTGCTTTGATCCACCGGAGTGCGCAGCCCCGCCCCGTCGTAGCGCTGCTTTACTGCGTTATATCTGAATTCATGTTATATCGGGGTAGAGGTGTAACAGTTTTCAAGTACATAAAATGTTGTTACAAGGAGGAGGGAGAAAAATTGTTCTCCTTAACCTCTGATAGGACAATAAGCAATGGGCTTAAATTGTAGCAAGGGCAGTTTAGGTTAGATGTTAGGAAAAAATTCCTATCAGGGTAGTTAAGCACTGGAATGACTTGCCTAGGAAGGTTGTGGAATCTCCATCATTGGAGATTTTTAAGAGCAGGTTAGACAAACACTTGTCAGGAATGGTCTAGATCAGTGGTTCTCACCCAGGGGTCCAGGGTCCCCTGGGGGGGGGGGGCCGTGAGCAAGTTTCAAGGGGGCCGCCAAGTAGGGCCAGTGTTAGACTTGCTGGGGTCCAAGACAGAAAGCCAAAGCCTCACTGCATGGGACTGAAGCCCAGGGCCCCAAGTCCTGCCACCCAGGGCTGAAGCCGAAGCCTGAGCAATGCAGCGTCATCGTATCGTATCTCCTAGAACTGGAAGGGACCTTGAAAGGTCATCGATTCCAGCCCCCTGCCTTCACTAGCAGGACCAAATACTGATTTTGCCCCAGATCCCTAAGTGGCCCCCTCAAGGATTGAACTCACAACCCTGGGTTTAGCAGGCCAATGCATGGGGACCCCTGTGACATGGGGCCCTTGGCAACTGCCCTACTTGCTACCCCCTAACGCCGGCCCTGGCTTTGTATGCAGAAAACCAGTTATTGTGGCACAGGTGGGCCATGGAGTTTTTAAGCATGTTGGGGGGGCCTCAGAAAGAAAAAGGTTGAGAACCTCTGGTCTAGATACCACTTAGTCCTGCCATATGTACAGGGAACTGGACTAGATGACTTCTTGAGGTCCCTTCCAGTCCTACAATTCTATGATTAGAACTCAGGAATGTCTAGCCCTGAGCTCAGACCACATTGTTCTCCTCCTTTTACACTCACCCACACCTCACTCCACCCCGGACTGCCCTTAGCTGAGGAGGTACAACCCTGTCCTTCCAGGAGGATGAGCCATCTTCCTGCACAAAAGGAAGGAGTGGGAAACCTGAAAACAAGGGAAAATTGCCAGCTTAACTGAAGTTCTTTTAAAAGAAGATAGGAAACAAATTCCCTTAAATATATTCACATAGGGCTTCTCCTTTTGTCAATGTTCTCTAGTCAACACAACAACACTTTCTAGTCCAGTAAGAGTTTCTTTTAAATTATCAAAATCAGAACAATGATTTTTTTATCTTGAAAATGTTTATCTTCTTCACTTGCCCTATAACCTAGCAGTAACCTCATATTCCCCATGGCCCAGATCCACAAAGGTATTTAGGTTCCTCACTTTCATGGATCTGAGGAGCCTGAATGCCTCTGTGGATCTGGGCCCATGTGATTGGGCTAACATTCAGCAAAATGAGACACACACCCTGCATAGTTTTCTAGGTCCCTGCCCCCACTGTGCACTGGAAAGGCTGCCTGCCCCATCCTAGCTGGCCAGTGGCCTAGCATTCTTAGCTATTGGATCCAGCTCCCTGTCTGGATCAGTTGCTATTCCTTGCCAATTCTCCCCTGTTCCTGGCCTCAATTCCTAATGTGGCCTATCTCTTACTCAGACCAAGAGTAGTGTCTAGAAGTGGCAGCAGGGCGAGGTGAGTCACTGTGAGGAGCAGGTAGTGAGGAGAGACCTGTCTCCCAGACGTCCAGAAACCTTCCCTCTTCCTTGCAATAACATAGCAAACTCCCAGTTGACAAATACCTGGAGGCTAGGCTCTAAAGGGTTAACTTTAAGCTTTTTGATGAAGTCTGCAGATGAGCCCAGATCTGATCAAGTCAATTTCTTTTTCTAAACTAATTGATTAAAGCATGTTCTGAAAGCACACCTATGAAAGAGGTTGGGCAACAGAACTGTTCAGTTTGCCTGTGCAATTATAAACAAGATTCTAACAGCTGGGGGTGAAATTTATTAGGTGATTCTACCTACTTCTCTCCCTCTCCGAGTATTATGAGGATTCAGTAGGTAATGGCTGTAAAACCCTTTGAAGATGTGATGGTATCATCATCACAGGATGTGACCAAAAAATCTACTTGATTTTTTTTTTAACCATACACCACAGAAAGCTGTGGAGGTGACTAGACTGCACAGGATCAGTTCTGACCCTCTTCGCTAGTACTCATCTCACAGCTGCTCTCTCCCCAACACACTGTGCTAATAATCTTTGATTCTTCACCCCCACCCTGTTAAGGACATTCTCAGATACTCTTTATAGACCAAGTTGAGCCATTAATAACACAGATATCATATGGTTATAACTCACACACCACTAAGGAAACATACCTGGTAAGGGAATGAATTCTGACAGGCACCTGTGGCATGAGAGGAGGATGCATGTTTTTTATCTTGTATTTTGTTTTGATTTTATTTGCCTCTTTATACCTCCTGGTCTGAATATTTTGTATGGGCACAACTGTATCCATAACTCAACACTGAATGGTAAGAGTTAGCAATACTTAGCTCATATATCTGGCTTTTCATTTCATCCATAGACTCTAAAACACTTTATTTACTGACAGAGAAACTGAGGGATGGGGCAGCTTTATGATTTACCCAGAATCACACAGCAAGCCCTTGGCAGATCTGAGAACATAAGAGAATACTGTACCTCTACTTTTCCCCATCACCCTGCCCAGGCTGACTCCTCCATGTTCTATACCTGGTCTTAAGAAACCCATGAACTTACAATGTATTCTACAGGTAACTTCTGCAGATGTGCTATCAAAATACTTTGCACTTTTGTAACTCCTTCCATCTGGGGATCTCAAAGCCCTTCACAAACATTCCAGCCCCATTTTATAGAGGGAGGAAGTCAGGCACAGAGAGGATGTGACTTGCTTAAGGTTAACTTACAGCCAGTTATTGTTAGAACTCAGGCGTCCTCGCTCCTATCTCATGGTAGACTAATCTCACTGCTTGGATATTAATTACATGTGATGCTTGGTAAGGGTGACAGAGTGCTGGAGAGATACCTGGCCCTGCAGGTGAGATGCAGGTACTTCTTCATAGGCTGTCAGCCATTCAGCAGCATCCTCTGGGCAGAGAGGGAGGGGCGGCTCTATACTGCAGCTTCTGCTGCAATTAACAAACTTGGAAGTTAGAAAGCGACTCTTTCAAAGCACAAAAGAATACCCCTTCCTTGTGCTGAAGTCTCCCAGTGGGGAAAGGCTGTTAAGGCGCCTCACAGAGACTCGTGATAAAAGCTCTCCTCCTCCTGCTGCTGCTGCGGGAACCGTGTTGCCTTTGGCACAGGGAAGAGTTTGGAAAGTTGCAGACTTTCCTCTTTTGATGGATGAATCTGCTGTTTCAATTCTCCCCGGGACGAAATCACGTAACCGTTTCGCACGGACTTTTCGGGGGACTCTGGGACCACCACAATGGGAGGAGAGAGGCTCAGCCCCTTTCAAGGCAGCTATAAAGCCAGGGCATGCACCCTTCCAAATCACCAGAGCAGAGCTGAGAGAGGGATCTTAGAGAAGGTTAACACAGGACGGGACTGAAATTACTAGGCAAAGACACAGGCAAAAAAAAAGCGCTCTCTGGTACAGAGTCTCAAGGATCAACCTGACAAAGCAATTTGAAGAAACTCATTCGCTCAAGCAAAAACTATAGGAACTCAGGATGAGACTATGAGACCCTGGAAACTGCGGAGGGATCTATAGGCTGAGAGGAGATTTACTGGGTGTCCAAGCTCAATAAGGAGCCATCTCCCGGGGAGCGCACAAGGGAGGTTCCTAGACGGTTCAGGTGCTGAACTAGTGACTGGCTGGACTGAAGAGATTTCCCCCCAGATAGTTTGGGGTCACGAGAGGCTCCCTAGACTTTTCCCCAGGCCGGGACCCAGAGTCTGGGCGGGATCAGCGCTATGGTCACGGGAGGGGAGAGCAGCGGCGGCAGCCCTGGGGAGCCAGCCCCCTGGCTCAAGGACACGGTCCGGCCCGCCCTGCTCCTCGCCAGCGCCTTCTTCCTCTGCCTGTGGGCGAGGAGGCGCCTGAGGCCGCAGAGCGGGAGCCCGCCGGGTCCCTTCCCCTGGCCCCTGGTGGGTAACGTCCTGCAGCTGGGCCGCCTGCCCCACCTCACCTTCTGCAAGATGGCCCAGCGGTACGGCGACGTCTTCCAGCTGCGGCTGGGCCGGCGGGCCGTGGTGGTGCTCAACGGCGAGGCCGCCATCCGCCAAGCCCTGGTGCGGCAGGGCGGCCAGTTCGCCGGCCGGCCCGACTTCCCCTCCTTCCGCCTGGTGTCCGGCGGCCGGAGCATTGCCTTCGGCCGCTACAGCGAGCAGTGGCGAGCCCACCGCCGCCTGGCCCACGCCAGCCTGCGGGCTTTCTCCACGGCCAGCGGCCGCAGCCGGCAGCTCTTCGAGCAGCACGTGGCGGCAGAAGCGCGGGAACTGATCCGGGGCTTCCTGCGGCGGGGCGCCGGCGGCGCCTACTTCGACCCGTGCCCGCTGTTCACGGTGGCCAACGCCAACGTGATCTGCGCCCTGTGCTTCGGCCAGCGCTACAGCCACGACGACGGCGAGTTCCGGGCGCTGCTGGGCCGCAACGACAAGTTCGGGCAGACGGTGGGCGCGGGCAGCCTGGTGGACGTGCTGCCCTGGCTCCAGGCCTTCCCCAACCCGGTGCGCCGCGTCTTCCGCGACTTCCAGGCGCTCAACCAGGAGCTGCACGACTTCGTTAGGGCCAAGGTCGCCCAGCACCGGGGCACCTACGACCCGCGACTCACCCGGGACATCAGCGACGCCGTCATCGGCAAGATCGAGCAGGGCGGCGGCGGGGCGCAGGAGGGGCTCAGCCGGGACTACGTGGAGGGCACCATGACCGACATCTTCGGGGCCGGCCAGGACACCACCTCCACCGCCCTGTGCTGGGTCCTGCTGCTGCTGCTCAAGCACCCGCACCTCCAGCGCCAGCTGCAGGCTGACTTGGACCGCGTGGTGGGCCGGGACCGGCTGCCCACGGCCGAGGACCGCGGCTGCCTGCCCTACCTGGAAGCCTTCATCTACGAGACGCTCCGCTTCAGCAGCTTCGTGCCGGTTACCATCCCGCACGCCACCACCGCCGACGTGGTACTCCAGGGCTTCCGCATCCCCAAGGACACGGTGGTCTTCGTCAACCAGTGGTCGGTCAATCACGACCGGCACAAGTGGAAGGACCCCCACCTCTTCAACCCGGCCAGGTTTCTGGACGGAGAGCAGAAGCTGGACAAGGACCTGACCTGCAGCGTCATGATCTTCTCCATCGGCAAGAGAAGGTGCATCGGCGACCAGCTCTCCAAGCTGCAGATCTTCCTCTTCACCGCCATCCTCTTGCACCAGTGCACCTTCGAGGCCAACCCGGCCGAGCGGCTCACCATGGACTGCATCCACGGGCTGGCCCTCAAACCTCTGCCCTTCACCGTCTCGGTGAAAATGAGAGACACCCCTCAGAGCTGCCGGGCTGGGGATGCCCAGTGAAGAACCACCCTACTCCGAGCCCTCTGGGAGCACCCTGCTTGCTGCGCTGGGCATGCCAGCTCGCCCTGCCTACACTCAAGAACAACAAGGAGTCTGGTGGCACCTTAAAGACTATCAGATTTATTTGGGCATAAGCTTTCGTGAGTAAAAACCTCACTTCTTCGAGCAGATCTCTCCCAATGGGAACGCTCTCTGTATAGCTTTAGGTAAGATCATTGCTTGTATGAGGGGTTTTCTCCCCCGCGCAGTTACTCCCTTTCCCAGGAAAGTCAGAAGCCCTTCGCGGTGAATTTTTGTTACCATTTTTGTTACCTCCCCTTTGAAAGCCTCCAGCCGGTAAGGAGGGAACAGAAAGCCCCCTTCTGCCCGCTGCTCCCCACCAGCCTTCTTGCTCAGTAGTCTTCTGTCTGCTCCGTGTTAGGTCAGCTCTGACTCCGATGCAGTTCCATTCCATTTCCGATTGGTAGTGACAGCATGTGGAGCCAGAGGCGATCTTAAAACAGCACCTACTGCCAAGTGAGCTGTAGTTACCTTGATGATGCCTTTTTGCAGGTCCGGAGTCTCAGCGATTTTCGCTTTCTAGAGATCAGACGTTTCCGATCTCTGGCTGCACAGGGGAAGTCCTTCAACCTGGCTTCTGTATGTGGCAGAGGTTTGAGCAGCAAGCTTAGCCTGAAGGCAAGAAGGATTGAGAAAAGAAGTGCTGTCTCTGCTAACTTCCCTGAATTATTGTTGACATAAAAGGGTCGGCGTATTCGCACTGCCCCTTATTAAAACTTCAGAGCCTTACAACAGCTCATAGCAAGAAGTGAAGGGATCTAGATTAATAATGATTTATTCCGCGTAAAGCAGACCATGGGAGTGTAAACCACCTGTTAAATGTACACTAACCCCGCTAGAACTGCATAAACAAACCTACTAGTAGGCAGTCGGGTACTCACCTGCCCTAATTATTTGCATTCCGATTCAGACAATGAGGTATAATTTTCCCTTCCCCGGAGTCTAAATTTTAATTCGACCGGGTATTAAATGGTTAATACGATTTACCGGGAGCCTTGCAAGAAGTTGTGTTCAGGAGTTGACACTGTGACATTAACTTTGGCACGAGATCAGCATCTCCATTATGCATATAAACAGCCCAAGCACAAGCTTGGGTTGCCTTCAGATTGCAGCCTCTCCGTACAAAGAGTGTCTTGATTGTTTCCTGCGGGGCGGACAAAGTAAATTTGGCAGAGCCTGTCGGGGTTTTAAACGCTTCACTAACGAATGCAAGGAGGTGAAAGTCATCCTTGTTGAACGCCGCAGCAGACTGCCAGGTTTTGCCTTCCGCTGAGTCAATCCTTGGGGAACAAGTGTGTGTCTAGCTTGTCCTGAGTTACTCTCTGAGCAGGAGAATTCAAGCTGAGTAGCACTTCCTTCCCGGCAGTTTTCCCCTCTGCCTGGCAAACCCAGAGCTTGGAGAGCCTTTAGCTTATCTAGATAGCGCTGCATACTCGCTGATATTTTACACTCTCTCCCCCTACGATTAAGCTTTGGACACAAATACATTTGTCTATGGTGCTTCTCTGAGTTATTCTTTTGTAATATGAATGATTTCCATTTTAATTCATGGAATAACAATGTGACTGTCCTTTCTCAATAAAATATCTTTGGCACAAATGTATTATTGCATTGCTGGTTTTGGTTGGTTGGGGGAGGGAAGCAGGGGAGCGTAATTTGTTCCTAGACTGCGTTTCCCTGCTCTGCAGAACTACCCTAAACTTGGCCACAAAGATAGCCAGCAGAAAAATCTTCCAGCAAGTAGCATATGAGGCTCCATTGCTGGGGGTGCATGTGTGCATGCTCCTGGCCTGAAATCACTATCCCAAGGACAAGGATATTAGCGGGGGGACAATGTTTTCCAAATCCTCATGCCCATTGAAACAGCAGGGATCCCATGGGTTGTGTGTAATCAATGGCGATCATAGCCTGGGGAGGGACTGAAAGCAAAATTGTGCACTCCATTTATTTATGGATAGGGCTCTACCAAATTCACAGTCCTTTTTGGTCAATTTCATGGTCATAGGCTTTTTTTAATTCTCAATTTCATGGTTTCAAATATTTATATCTGAAATTTCCCAGTGTTGGTAACCAGGGAGCCCCGACCCAAAATGGGGGGGGGGCTGCAAGACTATTGTAGGGGTGTTGCAGTATTGCCACCCTTACTTCTGTGCTGCTGCTGACAGGCGCTTCCTTCAGAGCTAAGCAGCACAGACTTGAGGGTCCCATGGTATAGGGGGGGGTCATCACTTTTTTGGGGGGGACAAGGCCAGCCTTACCCATGGGTGACTGCCCAGGGCCCCATAGTCAGTGGGGTGCTGTGGTCCGTCCACACACATAGCCCAAGGTCCCTTTATCCCCTGAGTGCTGGGCCCAGAGCCGGGAAGGGCCTGGCTGAGGGCAAGGACTCCAGAACCTTTGTAAAAGTGGGGGAGGGGCATTGGTGCTGGAACTGGGATGACTGGGGGCCAGGGCCCCCCTTTCTAACATGGGTGTAGTTTGGGGACAGAGGCGGCATTGCCCCCCCCCAAACTGCAAGCCTTGGGCAGGCATGGAGCAGCAGAAGGGGCTGTGCTTCGTGGTGGCATTGACCCCCAAAACTGCAAGCCTTGGGCAGGTTTGGAGTGGCACTGGCAGGGGCTGCACTTCACAGTGGGGGAGCTGATCACCGTTATCAGCTCCTCTGCCATGAAGAGCAACCCCTACCTGCCCCCACCGAACTATGCCATGTTCAAAAGTGGCAGGTATGGCCCCCGCCTCTCCCTCCTTCCCCCCAGTTCTGGCACCATTGGTTGGGAACACCCCAGCCGGGGGCTCCTACTAGGCTCCAGCTAATAGTCCCAGCCAGGCTAGGGAGGGACTGGACAGGACTTCCATTTCCCCCCGCATGGGCCACTCCCAGGCTGGGTCAGACCCACCTTTGGGAACCTCTGCCAGCAGCAAGAAGCTCTGTGGCTACTCCCTGCTGTGAACTCATTCCGCCCTTCAGTACAAAACAAC